GGTATTTTATAAGATAGTTAAATTATCTTTTCAAAAGAAATATGCATGTTTGTATTTTAATACGCTACAAATTCTATTCACATGTAACGGACGAACAGGATTTTGACATACATTTGGGTCAATGACTTTCCATTGTGGATGCACCAAAAATAAAATGCATGATTACCAATTTTTTTTTTAAACTTCTTACTCTATATATTCACTAATTTGATAAACATTTAAAAGTAACAGATATATTTCTTTTTTAGGAATATTGGGCCATTTTTAACTTCCTAAATTTTTTGACATACAATGTTAGCATCCGTTACATAAAACCGTCAAATTGCATATTTTTTAAATAAAAAAGGGTTTTATTTTTCTTTCTAGTGTTTTATCTTATTAGTTTCCAATATATTTCTTATAGAAATAATGAATCCATCCTTATAATACAATTTAAAAAAAAATATCCTACATCTAATTTTAGACATTTTTGTCATGTAACATTTTTGTATGGTGAAATATGGCTAAAAAGTATGTCAATTTATCATTATATTTTTTACTGTGAATTGTGTGATCATGAAATGATTTTTAATATGTATACTCATTGATATGATAATATAAATGTAAAAAAAATTTAAACAATAAAATCTTTAGTTATAGCTTCCTAAAAAATATTGCTTGGAGCATGTTTATTTACTGTGAAATTGCTCATATGCCTATATATGTTTTGAATTCCTGAATAGCCTATATATGTTTTGAATTCCTGAATTGGCTACTGTTCAGAAACGAGTGGAATTATCAAGAAAATAGAAAAAAATCAACTAGACTCAATAGGACAGAGAAATCATTTTACATTTATCAATTTCATTTAATATTTTAATAATGTATTCTTGCGTTCTTTTTTTAGTGTGTCATTTTGTAAAAAAAGTATTGTAATTTCATTTTGTAATAACTCAATTTTAATCATATTTTGATATACTATTCGTACATCTCAATTTAGCTAGGCCTATGTGCTGAGATAATAATTTAAATAAAGAGCGTTCGATAGGCCTATATAAGAAATGCTACAATATATTTTAAATGCACAAGCAATATCTGAATTTAAATAAAAATTATTTTTAAGTAATGTCAGGATAGGTAAATTATTGTACAAGCCAGACGCTACAGAACAGCCACGTTGACAGTCAGCAGAATGGAGATTATAAACCGTTTGAAAACATGAATTTAAGAAAAAAAAGAATTAAATGTAAAAATTACCAATTCAATGAAAAAGAAATATTACAAGTAGAACCTCCATTTTACGTACGGTACGGGGCCAATGGGCGTAGGCCCCTACGTAAAACATGGAATTTGTAAAAGTCAAATTGTACTGACTTTTGACATTATTGTTACCCTCGACATAAGAAAAAAACACTGTATATTTCACTCATATATATATATATGGTTTTATATATGATATAAAATTATTTTATGGCATATACGAAAAATCCAGAAACAGCAAACGGAATAATGCAATGAATAACATAAATTGAAAAGTAACCATAAGAGGAATCTGATAAAGAAAGAAAATAAAGTACAGCCTCGACTGGGACACTCCCTTATCCACATCCAGATGCGTATAAGAGACAGGTTAACACTGTTGAAAATATAATATAAATCATCAAAGGTGACATATACAGTGTTTTTAAATATGGACATGATGGAACATCGATGTTCTATCATGTCCAAAATAGTAGTAGTAATAATTATAATAATAATATTAATAATAATAATAATAATAATAATAATAAGATAATACAGTGCTCGAATAATACTATAATAATAAATAATAATACTTTAATAATAATTACCTATTTACGATAGTTCGATTAATGAGATGAATCAACACTCTAATTGGACCTGGAGAACCGGGGCGCCCTCTATTCCAATGAGTATAACCAAGGAACACAAACACTTGAGTACAGGTACTTCTTTGTTTTATTCCAAAGCGGTGAAACTGTAATTCAATCATAGAAACAACAATTACAAACAACAGATGCAAAGATATGCAAACATCAAAAAAAGAACTTATCGTGTTGCTTTAACAATGTAATACAGCACTGCAGTAGATGCAGTGTCACAAAGTATTGTGTATTAAATTCTCAGTTCACTAAACACAGAAGTTGTCAACCGTTTACATCTTGCAATTTCAGAGACATCTTCAAAGTACAGTTTGGTATATCATAAATCTTTCAATACAATTAAGGCCTAAGGGTCAAAGGTTACCGAATATTGATAACTTAAACAAAAACAAACTTACAGTGTGTAATCCGATATAACTCAGATTCAATCCAAACAATATTGCTGCAGGTAGCAAACTCGTATACTGTATGGCTACTGTTACACTAGAGTTTCAAGCCTGGCTTGACTCACCGCGGGTGAGATTTTCGTAATGTGACCGCATCTGCACCGACTTGCGCCTAGCGTGACCTCGATCTCAATCTACCTATCTCGATCCTGGCTCAGCACCCATATTGACCCTGGATTGACCCTGGCGTGACCGAGATTGACATGTCCTCGTCAGCTGTCGACCAATCACAGTCGATGACGCCGTTGCATTTAGAAGTTCTTGAATAAAAAACCCGCGAGTTCTTCATGTGTGTTCAATCAAGACGCATTCATTACTTTTCATAAAAGTTAATTCAAATTTTAATTAATAATAATGCGATTGATTTGGAGCGCGCCAGGAAACTGCTGATCTGGTAGATTTGTGGGGCCAACCTGAGCTGAGAGACCGGATAGAAAATAAAAAAACAAACAACAAAACGGGAATTTTTGGCGTGCTTGCTGACAGATTAGCCAGTCTCGGACATGAGAAGAGAACGACGGCCCAAATTCAAACAAAAGTGAAGGCATTGCGAGCCCAATACAAGCTGATAAAAGATCAGTTGGAGAAGAGTGGTTCGGGCACGTCTGGTGTAAAATCTTTGATTGCGATCCACCCAATCACATGCGCGTCAAAGATCTTATAAACACAAGATAGCGTTCTCCGCGATTTAGGCGTAACAAATAGAAGCGTCGGTCAAGGTTCAAAAGTTTCCCATTTAGCAAGAGGGCGTCATTCATGCGCTATTACCGAAGAGAAAAATAATAAGTTTTGGAAGAGGGCGTCCTATCTGTTGCCATGGATCTGAGATGGTTCCTGTTCTGCTGTTCACAGGCGGTGTACTGTATGGTCAGATCAGAGCGGTCAAGGGTCAAAAGTTTCCAATTTAGCAAGAGGGCGCCATTCATGCCTTATTACAGAATTTGCACGTGTAAATCCCGGAGAACGCTATCTTGTGTTTATAAGATCTTTGATGCGCGTATATCGAATCCTGTGAAACAGAGTTGGCTAAACTCTCTCTCTACGGCTCTGCTCTTTCGACTTTCATAAGTTGGAGGTCAATCCAACTATTGTGACCGACCCAGAATTTCGAGCCTGCCTTGAAATCTCACCCGCGGTGAGTCAAGCCAGGCTTGAGACGCTAGTGTGACCGTAGCCTGTATGACTTTAAATACCTAAATAAATGAAATCACAGCACTTAAACCTTGGTAAATCAATTAGATCATTCATGAGGGTTACAACAAATTTGGCGAGTGAAGGTCCTTAGACAGGAGCTATCACTGCCTAAAAACTAACACTCATACATAACTTTAACTTATACAGTATATAGGTTATTGTATAAATATATTGTAATAAGGTACTACATGTAATGGTATTTTAGGCTTAGCATACCGCATAATGGTAGACTTGAATCATACATGTCATCGAGTTTAAAACAACGCTAGGCCTCGTAATCTTATCATCGACCTAACATGGTGGACAGAGAACGAGAATAATCAAGGCAAGAATAGTGGTGCATAAAGTCGTAAACCATATCAAACTAAAATATTTACAGCTAAAAACATATTAACTATTAGTATTAAGAAGTACACTCACCAGAAAACATTCTGACTGGTGCTAAAAACAGCTAACTTTCAGCATAATAGGTTAAATTTGACAGCTAATAACAACACTTTGACATGATTACACCTCGAATACAAAAACTCGCGGTAACTGTGCCGAGTTATTCAAAGAGGGCGCTGGACCAAAACAAACCTCTCACGAACAGCACAAACATACTATAACCATGGAGGTAATACCTCCATGCTATAACGTCATGCAAAACCTGTTTTTTTTTTTTTTTTTTTATAATAAAGATGTTATCTATTTTATTCTCTTTTAAAAAATAATCTTATAAATAATGAAAATTAGAATTTAGACCTGAGAGTGCCATTTCCGACCATCTAAATTTGTCATAATCATAAATTTTCCTCCTCAGCCCCAACCATCCGGGGGCAGGTTATCTATTTTTCCAAATTGTGAAAGTCCCTCCCTGTCCCCCTCTCTTTCGCTTTCATGGAGCCACCACTGATAATGATAAATTAAGTATAAATCACCTTATGTTTGTGAAATCAAAATGCTTACTAATAATTTGTGTGTTTCTTATCTCCCTATTCCTGTTAAATTTGATCGCAAATTAAACAGTTTCCACTCACAATTGT